GGGTAAATGGGGTAATTGGGAACCTACTAACTGGTTAGCTAGATGCTTCCGAGAAACCGGCAACAATCAAACTTTCTTGCGAATCTTCCGCCACAACAATCCCGCCCCCTTGATAAAAGACCAATCACATTGACTTTATTCACTCGTGTAAAGTCGTGCACCACTCGGGGAAAAATGGTTGGAACAGCCGTGTCCCTACGGCTTTAAGTAGAGGAGCGTTCAGGAGCAAATTAACAAACAAATTCACCTCCTGCCGCAATACAGCAGCTCCTGCTACTGGATACTGGACAGGTAGAATCACCACTGGATGCAAACCTCAAGCTGCAGCTCCAGGCCTCTAGTGGTACTGGGTGAATTGTGGTGGAAACACTGCTGATGATGGGAGTGCATGTGGTGCAGCGGTTAGTGTGCACGACCCATGTACGGAGGCCTTAGTCCTCGATGCAGCTGATACGGGTTTGAATCCGGCCTGTGATCCTTTCCCGCATGTTTCTCTTATACACCCTTTCCTGTCAGCCTGCTGTCGAAAAATCGAGCCGCTAGTGCCGCAAAAACTAAAAAAAACCAAAAAACAAAAAATCCCACTGCTAATGATTTTCATGTTACATCGGTGCCGTAACTGTATATAAAAATGAAAAAAACTCTAGGTCAGCCAGGGTCAGTTGAACAGGCAACAGGAATCAGCAAACAGATAGATGCTCCCCCTGTTTGATGGTGTGGTGACTGTGCTGTCTAAAAAAAATTATTATTTGCAAAAAAGTTGTAATATTGTGGCAAACTTAGACATTTTTTAACACTGTTTGAAATGATACATTCTTTTTTTTATTTGTCTCTTGGTCCTGTGTTTCCTTCTTTATATTTGGATGGTTTACTATTAAAAGATTTTCTTAAATACTTGTATTTCTTCTGTGGTCTGAAGTTTTAGTTTCGGAGTTTATAACCCCGAATCCTCCATAACCACAGTCCTAGTGCAAAGTCTGGCTTTTTAAAATCACTACCTGTCTCTAATCCTTGCACTTTCAATCAACACCCTCTGGCCAGTCCTTAACTGAGGGAACAGGGCATGTTGCTTCTAGCATGAACCACAAGTTATGCACAGAGCTACTGATAAATTCTTTGTATTCTTGTTCTATTTGTAGGGTTATTTTGTTAGATAATGTTTTATGACCCAAAAGGACGAGGAGTGTTTGGATAAATTTGGCATAGTTGTTAATAACGCCTATTACATTTAACTCTGAGTATTTAGAACTAAGTTTGATTCACAGGCTTCTGTCTGTCCTTATCAACTATATCCACACAGGTGAAGATTTTATAAATATATATATATATATAAATATATATATATATATATATATATATATATAAACAGTTTATTCTTGTTATTTAAGGTAAATGCTTAAGTTTATGTGTAAAAGAGAAAATTTAATTAAGCTCAGAAAAACTTTCTGATATAAAATAGAACTTTTCTTTCCAATGCTGTTTTTGTAACCTAATAAAAGACACCAGATCATTAATCTAAGCTTAGAAACCTGTGCATTCATAACCTTATTAAATAGAGGAAGGAATAAAGAAGCCAAGTAAGTCATTAAAAATATAAATATAAGTCTAGGTCTATAATTGTGTTTTGTTGAAAACCAGTTGCGATCACACAAGGTGTCTTTGTTTTCCCTCTTAATTGCCTACAGCTGTCAGCTTTCACTAAAACCATCCCAAATCGGTTAAGGAAACCAACCTATAGATTCTGTCCAAAACTCAATGAAGAAATTTTCTAGTTAAAGAAGTTGTATTTTACATCAGTGATACTTACTGCACAAATGATGAGGATTCACACCTGAAAATAACTGAACAAATGATAGAGCAACTAAAACAGGCCTAAAATCGCCGGTAAACAATGTAGGCTTTGCAAAATAGATGAAAATGTGGGATATAAAGTAACAGAGCCAGGAAATCCGCCTCTAAAATGTATAAAACTGGCTTGATAAGATTTTCAAGGCTTGAAACTCTGAAACACCTGGAGAAGACCCTGGGAAATGCTAGATGTAGCTGGGTTTTGACAGCTGGCTGGTCCCCCCCCCCCACACAGGGCCGAAAGCCTTGCTACAGGGGAAATAAGGCAGATGAGAGACCTTTATTTGGGAGAGGAGGAGGATTTACAGAGAAGCTTAGTGTCCAGTGGACCTTGAGACAAGAGAATGGGGACCTCTCCTACGAAAGAACTGTTCACTGGGAAGGAAATGTGGATGAAAACTATGTGGTGGTCTCAAAGAGGCAACAAAAGAAGCAATTGCTGGCTCAAAGGCTCGGCAGGGCTGAAAAATAGGATTTAATAGTAGATCAGAATGTTAAATTCATTCAAAACGGTTATCCTTTTCCTAAGACGGGCTTGGAGGAGAAATACAGAGATGATGAGACACAGAAACTGTGTCCTTTACCGATGGCAGCAGGAAGCTGTATAAAAGTGAAGCCCAGTGGGCGTATGTGTTAAAAAAAATGGACAACCTGTGTGAAAGCAGATAGTGAAGTCAGGCGTGGGCACAAAATGGGAATAACTGTACAGGATATCATACAGTCTGGGAATTCTGGGAAATGCTGTCCCTTATAACTAAACAGACACACAGGTCCCCTTGTTGCAGTATGGTCTTTTTAGCTCCCATCTAAAGGAGAGGCTCGCCTATCCCCCTCATTCTGATAATATATCTGTTCATATTTCCAAGGGTCTATGCCGCGGAGTAGCCTTTTATTTTGTTTAAAAACTCCAGTAAGCCGTATCCAAAGCCCAGCTGGCTTATGCAGATTCTCTGGAGTAGGATAAGTGGGTGTGAGTGGCTGGGCTGTTCACAGCTGGCTATCTAACCATTGGCTGATTTGACACAGGAATGGCTGAGGGTTAAATAGGGTCAAAGATAGCAGGTTGATCTAGATAGAAGTCCTTTGATTGAGTGCTAAAGAGTTAAACCATAGTGAGCCATTTAAATTTAGGTGCGCAACCACCACAGGCTTCTCCATACCTCAAAGGTCCCAAACCAAATTGCTATTGTAAGTATATAAGCTGCTGAGAACGGGCATCAGATATAGAATTGGTAGTTAAGTGAGACTTCCACACACACACAGGCATGCTGGGGCCTCTTCCTGATGGTAAACTGGCATATGGTTTTACTGCTGAGGTCACCAGTTTGGCTGTAAAGCTTTAAACAACTGTCTGTAACAGTGACTCAGTCCCTCACTTGAACAAGAGACTGGAAGAGTTAGAACTGGATTACTAAAGTCAACATCCTTTATGCAAAACATTGGGGTATCTGAGGTGCAGAAAGATTCTTGATACTGAAATTGACTGTCAAACGCATCTCCTGCCAAGCCTGCATATTAAGCAACTCACCCCCATCAGGAGGTGAAAGAGTTCAACCGAAAACTCTTATCATATGACACCATCTTCAGGAATGTGAAAGTTAATAACAGTGAAAGACAATGACAACAAATGACAATCTGTTCAGTGAGGAGGAATCAAGCAGGGAGCTGCGAGTTGGGCGATGTTGTGATATGACATGCTGCTGTAAAGTTTGCCTCAGCTCTATGACTCATAAGAGTCAGGTGCATAAACAGCAGCTTTCCAGTCTTCCTACTCCACCCTAATGATGAACCCGATCCCCATCTTAGGCAAACGTGTACACAAAAGCTGTTGACATCCAGCTTACACTG